AGACCTGCCCGACCACCACCATCCGCGCGGTCGCGTCGCGGAAGGCGGAGCGAATCAGCTCCGTCAGTTTGGACTCGCGGAAAGGGAGGTGGGGGGAGGCCAAATGCATCGCGTGGACGACCTTGCCGAGGGTGGAGAGGGACTTGTTGATGGATTGGGCCTCCACGAGGGTCTGGCCCTGGGCCCCGCTCCGCTTGACCCGCTCGCTGCCCGCCAAATCCACCAAGGTGATGCGCGAGCGGCGGAGCTCCGGGGGCGCGGCGCCCTCGTCTTGCAGGCTCGCCAGCACCGGCGGGGGGTAGGAGGTGGAAAGCTGCAAAAGATGAATAAAAAAGACCGCGTGGCTGCGCGAGCTCGTCGCGTTCAGCCGCGTCGAGGCCACCGAACGCGAGGCGTTGGCGAGGTCGAAATACTCCACAACCCCGGAGAGGTCGTGGATCTCGACGAGGGTGAGCCCGACGGGGCGGATGCCCTCGGGGGTATCGCGTAAACTCAGCCGCCGCCGATTCGCCAAAAGGTCCATCACTTCCTCGACGTACAGTTCCAGCGCGGAGAAGGCGATGAGCACGTGCAGCCGATCCTTCATCACGGCCTTGTAGTGAAATAGGTCGTGAAAGGTCTGCAAAAGCACCCCCGACTCCGCGCAAATGCACTTTTCAGGGCTAAGTCTGCCTAATATCGTGTACGTCTTCCCGGAGCCGGTTTGTCCGTAAGCGAAGATGGTCGAATTATACCCTGACAGGGCGTGGTCGACCAAATCCCGCGCACCATCCTCGTAAACGGAGCGCTGATCATCGCTTGCGTCGAAAACGTAATCCAGCCGAAAGGTAAGGGTGTTGGCGGTGCTGGCAGCGCTCTCATCTTGCTGAATAATCAAAGTTTGATTATCATCCGCCTTGTGCAGACAGATCGAATCGCAACTCTCATTATCCAGCAGAGGACGAATTCGAAGCACTACAAAAATACGCTGCGTTTCCATTAAGATTAGTGTTTAGATTCTTTTGTGAGTGTGTGTGTGTGTGATTAAGAATTAGAGAGAAGAGGGGAAGGGAGAGGAGGAAGGGAGGAGACAACTCCCTTCTAATCGTACCACACCCACTATTACTTTTTAACTATATCTATTTCGCACACTTAAACCTTCTAGCGGGTGATTGGGCTTTTTTATGTAAGGTTAAATGTGTAATCCAATCTAAAACTGTCAGAGTTTGATTAAAAGGAAAGAAATGGCATACGATGAGTAATACACATATAGCCAGAAATATTTTTTTTTAATGTGTGGAGTTAATATATCATGAAAAATGATATAGTTATTGAAACATTTTAAAGAAATAAATAAAGAATAGAACAAATTAGTGCTTATTTTGTTTATAGCAGAAAAGAATGAATCGAAAACAAATAGTAGTTTAGTAAAAGGTAATGATAGAAAAGTTGAAATACATATCAATTCCCATTAACAATATGAATAAAACAGTAAAAAAAAAGAGAAAGTACATTTCGGTTGTCAACTACTTTTTTCAATATATATCTATGCACTTCCGTGAAAATGCTATGCTTTTGCTGAAACCCATGACTCGGCCAAGTATTTTTTTTTCGAATCCTCTGGCCAGTCAATCTCTGCATGATTAATAAGTCGGACCATTCTTGTAAAAGAATTTTTCAAAGCGTCAGAAGTTTTGTAGACTGTAAGCTCCACATCTATTACAGCGGCTTTGCGTTTTGAAAGCTTGTTATCCCGCAGCTTTAGCTCCGCTTCTTCTTCTAGAAACGACATCGTCACCCAGGTTTCGCGACTCTCACGAGGATATCGCTCCCTCAGCGCTATTAATGCAAGCTCCAGACGATAGGAGGTGGTCAAACGAAAATTTGAACGGTGCTCAAATCGTTTTTTTTTCATGATTTTACTGTAAAGCTGATCCATGTACTCATTATAATTATTCGAACTCAATGGAGAATCCTTTTTCACTTCTTCCCCATTCACTTCCTCTTTTTTTATAGGTGCAGAGCTTTGCTTGGTGTTTAAAGAAGAAATGTTATTTATAGAAGGCTCTGACGGCAAGGTCTTCGAACGGCAGCTATTCTGCCATAGAACAAAGTCATTATCGTTTTTAGTTGGAGGGCTAATTTTGTAGTAGTAAATCGTCGGGTGATAGCTCATCAACCAAGCCAACTCTTCCCTCTCAATAATGTCCTCTGCGTACACCACCACTATTTCAATTTCTAAAGTTGAATTGACTGTATTGGATTCATCCGACGAAATGGAAAAAGAATATTCTGATATTTTTTTATTGACGGTGATGGGCGTCATTTCCTCGGCCAGAATCTTAGAGTGAATCGCATTGGGTTTTAAATGCCAGTTGGCAAGCTTCACAATGTGCTTCGACACCCAAAGATTACACATCCGGTTGATCTTATCGGCCTCGGCGTTCAAAAACGCCATCGTCTTCGTGGTGTTTGGATCCACGTCTGGGATCAACGAAAAGAACGATTTGGTCACATTCTCCTCTTTAGAAAAGCCCTCTGTTCCACTCCAGGCCCGATAGTGGGAAATCTCCCGCCGTAGCCCCTCCGAGCGTTCCCACGTACACGTCCGCAGCCCGTCCTCCCAAAGCACCTCGTGAAGGCGTTTAGGGGTGCAGGTGCGCGGGTTAAACCGCGAGGCGTCCGTCGTCTCCTCCGCATTGACGTAAAGGCGATCGTTGATGTTGATCGGGCTGGCCGACGAGGCGACGGAGACCCCCCACCGCGCGCTTAGGCTCGCGGTCTCCACCCAGTAGGGCGAGTTAAAGAGATAACGCGCGGACTTAGCTTTCTGCCGGGCGTCGCAACGCCGCTCAAACGCGGAGGCTAAGTTCCACTCGGGCATCGACGACGTGGGGTGGAGGAGGTGCTTAAACCAAGAAAAGACGGACGTGGGGGGTGCCGGCTCGGCCGGCGCCCCCAGGCCGCTCAGGTTGTCGATATTAGACATAAAAGAGGGGTCCGCCGGTTCGATAGGAAGGGACGGCTCGTAGTGTATGAGCCGCTTCCGAAATGAGCTGAGGCCGTCGTAGATAACATTCCCGCATTCGTCTAAGGGAATGGCTTGGGAAACGCACGTGGTGGAATCGAAAAGGGAGTCATATATGGTGTTTGACGTGTTGGTATAAATCGTTCCACAGCACATGATAGTGTTCTCCTTACAGTGCAGGGTCTTTAGATCATACACTAATGATCTACTCATGGTGTCTACCGATGTATCGAGTACCGGGAAGGGGACAGGGGTGAAGTCATTTGTCGCAGAACTGGGTACATTTCTTAATACAGGGTCGTCATCGGATCGATAGTCAGATGCTTTTTTGTTCGCTGTGATTTCAGGGTTGGCGAAATTACAGTCTTTTGTGCTCTTCCACAACAAGTTTAAATCGGATTTAGGGTTTGGTGTCTTACGAAAAATCGAATCCTTTAGACGTTTCTCATAATAATAATTAATTTTACGGCAAAACTTTAAATAGGGATAGGCCTCAGGGGGAAAGTAGAAGTTTTTTGATAGGTAGATACCAGGGTTATACACCCCCCTCCATAGTTTCGAAAGTTTTGGGAAGAAATAGTGCGGGTTCTTTGAGGTAAAACGGGAAGGAACAGCAGTTTTAGGAGCAGTCATAGAAACTTCTGCAGAGTGGGCATTCTTCTCGTACGAAGGGGGGTTTGCTTGAGCCGATAACGATGTTTTTAAAGCGTTCATTAGTGAAGGCGGGGTAGGAAAAAAAGGCAGTAATCTGATTACATTGAGGGAGACCCAGTAAGGAGAACCAAAATACGGCTTTACACGCTTAAGCGCGGGGCATACTTCACGGGCCACCTCGTCGTTCCCAGCACATTTCACAGCAGTATTCCCAGCTATCGCGACGCTTGGTATAAAAGTAACGTAGTAAGTAAAAGTTGTTACTTCTATCTTCCAGTAAAAAAGTGGATCGGGTGAATTTGCAGCCTTCACCCCATCGGTCACCTCTGCCACATTGGAATTATCGGTAAATCTCCCTTGGAATCCGTGCTGCTCGCAGTACTCTTTCCACATTCGTCCTCGCTTCATCCAATTAGACGTCTTTAAATAATCTTTTGCAAAGGTAGAAGACACCTGAAAGTACCCTGTGGGAGGCTCCAAGTATGCAAATAAAGGAATTGATTTCGACGGTTTGACTCCTGAGGAAGGATTAACGACCGTTGGAGACTCTAAAACATCCCCTTCGGACGAATTTATAAACTCCTTGTATTTTTCCTCCAAAATCCACTGAAGAGAAGTTGGGAAAGGGCTATTCCCAACGCTCAAAAAGAATGGAAAAAAACCCGTTTTATCTGAATCTAAACATCGGTCCTTTGTAGTTTTCGATGCAGTTGTCATCTGCTTTTCACAAAAATCCCGAACCACGGGAAAATACCTATCCCATCCTTCCTCAGCATTGTCGTTTAAATGCGTATGAGAAGAAGAAGTAGTATCTTCTCCAGATAGATTACTTTTGGAGTTGGGTATAGTTCCAAGATCACTGAAACGGCGAACTTGGCAAAGCAACACAAACGAAAGGCTTACAGTGGCGCTGGATAAAGTGGAAAGGCAAGCATGCAAAGGTTCGCGGCAGTGTTGAGGATACCGCGGAAACTTACGATAACGAAGCATCAATTCACCTCTAGATAAAATATTAGAAAGTTAAAAAAAAAGTGAGAGCAAAGTCATCATTGTCAAGAATACAGGTAGAAGGTATAGATAATTCACGTTAATCTTTGCTCTAATAATAAGTATGGAGGACTTGAAGTAGAATAAAATGTCATCTTAAAATGTCAATATTTTCGAATAAAATCATCGGATCAACTAATCAGAGCGTATCATGTGGTGCTTCAGTGTATGTCTCCTATGAAGTCTTCCCTTCTGAAGTAAGCTTAAGGATAGGATAATGAAAAATGACATCAGCAGGATTTAAAAAGCTTGTGCTCTGGAACCCTACGAGTCTTCTACAATACCCCAGATCGTCGGTATATCCATACACTTCCAAATAAACTCATAAATAGAGCTAACACAATCTCGCCCCATGGAATACGCAAAAGTAAATGAACCACAACCACCGCTCTCAGTGTCTCTGGTCCAAGCGGTATCTTGTTAAACAAGCGAAAAGATGAAGGATACACTATACGTTCTTGTGGTTCCTCTGCACGATCATCAATTTGCTGGATGGGCTCCCCACCCTCCCTTTGAGCAGACTCCCGGTTCGAATAATGAACCTCATTATCCCTCAGGGAGTTCCCCTCAATTGTGCAAACCAAAGGCTCGACCGATGACCAACTATACACCCTCAGCAAAATTTCATTCCAAAAGTAGAACATCACACACAACCAACTAGGCCCTGGGCGAAGCGTCATGATCGTCTCCACAATGCCCAACCATGTGGAAGACGAGGTGTCCACACGGTACCACAGCACTTGGATCAATATCAGGCTTAACAACCACAGCACCCGCATGATATAGGCCGACACTAACAACTTTACACAGGAACGTGTTCCCATATTAGCCTCTGCAGGCATCACAAAAAAACGAAAGGCCGCGACAATCATCAAGAGTTCCCCTGAGGAAACGACAATGGTGTTAACAACAGCCAAACGAATTGCAAGTCCAATGATCTGTAAAAATAAATTGGGCACATAAAACCACGAATGGGGCTCTGAGATCAACCCTAACGCGTCACTCATCTTTGTAGTCCAGAGTGGAAGAAAGATCGGGTGAAATGACCCCGTGGCGAAGAGCAGAGCCCGGTCTTGGATACTAAAAAGGCCGTATAAAAATGAAGCGACCATTATCACCCCTAGTAAAAAAGCCGTCGCGGGATGTTTAGACAAGCGAGGTAAAAAATCTTCACTAGGAATGATGAACTCAAAAAGTGAGTTTTCCATTACTACAGTGTAAACTTCTTGCCTTCGCTTTGGTTCTTCGACAAATTGTTTGGCGCACCTTTAACACCAAAGGTTTTGTTTCGAATAGTTTATCAAATACTGATAAATGCATAAAGCGGAAAGAAAAATATAAATCCTACAATGGAAAGATGCATCAAAGCCAATAAAGCTGGATATACCAAAAGAGAAAAATAAAAAAATATTTTTTTTTCCATAATAGTGTATAAAATATCCTCAGTGAACCAAAATAAAAGTGTGCATTGATTGGCAGTGAAAAGCAAAAAAGCAAAATGTCAAAAACGTAGTTGACGGCACTAATAAGATGTAAACAACAAATTTACATTGAAGTTTAGCATAAACTATGTAAGGTTCACCTAAATATATTTATGAGAAAAAGTTCAAAGAAAAATAACATGCAAAAAATATATATATCTTCAGTTCACCGAAACATATCTATATATATTAATATATGATGCCTAGTTCTAGACATAGTCATACACGGACGCATTTCCGTCATCGCCAGCTGCGAACAATAGCGTCGGATCCGCATATATCACGCGGACGGCCGCGGTGTTGGCCCCCAGTCCGTAGCAACACTTACCAGTAAGCGCGTCGTGCACGAGAAGCCAGCCATTCCCTGCCCCAGAAAGCACCAGTGGACCTAAAACCTCCAAAGAGTAAATAAAGTCCGTATGGTCCTTGAATTCGTGTACGGGGGAATAATTCTTGCGAGGGTCAAGCACTAAAATTCGATTATCGGCGCCGCAGGTCGTGACGTAGGGTGTGCCCGGGATCCCCCGAATACCGCTGAGGACCCCGCCCGGGTGCAGCGTCGCGGCGTGCGCGGGATGGTCGCCCTGGCGGGGATCCCACACCGTGAGCCCTCCTTTCTGATCCCCGATCAGCGCGAGCATCGCTTCGCTTGCCTCGTTCTCGAGGTAGGTGAGGGCGCCGATCTGCCCCCGCCGCACGGCGAGGCTCCGCAGGCAGGTAGCGGTGGGGAGGTCCCAGGCCTTCACGCCGCCGCCGCGGTCGCCCGAGAGGAGTTGGAGGCCTCGCCAGTCAAACAGGAGGATGGGGGCGGCGTGGCCGGCGAGGCAGCCGAGCTCGCGGCC